TTATCCTCTAATACTTTTTTGTAGACCTATGACCCCTTTCCCAACATTAAAATGTGTCATGCCCAAAATCCCATTCCATTAAAATGGCATGTCTATTATGCAAGTATAAATTGGTCACAGATCACAAAACACAAAACCAAAATCAAAACCTGGATGTCTGGTACACCGCGACAGTGACGATGACAAAATGGACAATTGGTGGTCCACTTTTTCTCAGAAATTGTATGTTTCAGGTCCAATACCAAGAGGATACTAGGTGAGAAAACTAAGACAGGGTTTTCTCTTAGAACAAGACCGGCTGGCCCTCCAGTAGCTGTGTGTGAGACATCTTTAAATAGAAACCAGGTCCACAGTCAGGAATGCAGCAAAACCTTGTCAAATTGATTTAACCTGGCTGGAATCTGTCACTTCAACATACACAGCTGTTAATACACCCAGTCGGTTTACTTTCTACACTGATCGGACCGTTTTCAGGAACAGGCCTCATGGGAGATAATGAGGAAGGAGGATTTTGTTGCGCCCGAACACGTGGTCTTCAGGTTTTTGCCAAGTGCGAGGGTTAGGGTCAATCTGCTGGGTGTTAAGGTGGCCAGAGAGTGTGTCTGTGTGTGTGTTTGTGTGTGTGTGTGTGTGAACCAACTGTGAACAGGACACACTCAAACACACAGGAAGGGTTAGGACTAAGGCAAGAAAAAACACTGGCTATGTGATATCTATGACATCCTTCCTTCTGTCAAGGTCGCTATAGAGGACCAATGTAGCCACATGAATGCTCACAAACACAGAGTGCACATGTCACCTGCTCTCTAAAGATACAAAGAAACCTAAATGGTAACAAATATCTCAGTTTTTTAGTCATATTACAGAAAAAAAAATATATCACAACATATTTCCACTATTTTGAGTAGAGTTCGTGACTTCTGGCCTCGCCACAAAGACTAAGTTCCAATAAAAGTAGAATATTAAAGACGCCACGCTCTGAAATCATCATGCAGTTATCATGTGGAAGTGACATCTCACTGCCTGAAACCGATACAAGGAAAAAAGATCCCATCCACCGGTTTCCGGCAGAGAACCATGACCTCAGATTTGGAGGTGCTAACTCTCATCCGCGCCGCTTCACACTTGGCTGCAAACTGCCCCAGTGAATGCTGGAGGTCATGATCCGAGGAGGCTAACAGGACCACATCATCTGCAAACAGCAGAGAGGCGATCCCGAGACCCCCGAACCTGACGTTCTCCGTTCTCCGCTGCGCCTAGATATCCTGTCCATGAAAGTCACGAACAGGACCGGTGAAAAAGGGCAGCCCTGGCAGAGGCCAACACCCACCGGGAACGTGTCTGACTTATTACCGAGAATGCGGACACAGCTCCTACTGCAGTCGTATAGAGACCGGATCGCCCATTGTAACGGGTCCAGCACCCCATACTCCCGCAGCACCCCCCACAAGAACCCCCAAGGGACCCGGTCGAAAGCCTTCTCCAAGTCCACAAAGCACATGTAGACTGGTTGGGCAAACTCCCAGAACCCCTCCAGTAGTCTTGCGAGGGTAAAGAGCTGGTCCACTGTTCCACAGCCGGGACGGAATCCGCAGTGCTCCTCTTGAATCCGAAGTTCAACAAGCGGTCGGAGCCTCCTTTCCAGCACCCTGGCATAAGCCTTCCCCAGGAGGCTGAGTAGTGTGATACCCCGGTAATTCAAGCACACTCTCTGGTCCCCCTTTCTGAAGATGGGAACCACCACCCTGGTCTGCCATTCCATGGGCACTGATCCCGACCCCCATGCGACATTGAAGAGGCGTGTCAGCCAGGACAGCCCAACTATGTCCAGCGCTTTCAGCATCTCAGGGCAGATCTCATCCACCCCAGGCGCCTTGCCACCAAGGAGCTTTTTAACTACCTCAGCAACCTCTGCCAGGGATATGGGTGAGCCTCCCCCTAGGTCCTCAGGCGCTGCCTCCTCTGCAGAGGACATGTTGGTCGGGTTTAGGAGTTCCTCAAAGTGCTTTTTCCACCGCCCGACGATGTCCCCCGTCTGGGTTAGCAGTTCCCCTTCCCCTTCTCAGCAGTGCCCCTGCTGAGAACAGCCTGGGGTAAGCCCTGCTTTCCCTTCCTGAGCCGTCGGATGGTTTGCCAGAACCTCCTTGAGGCCAACCGAAAGTCCTTCTCCATGGCCTCCCCGAACTCCTCCCATGCCCGAGTTTTAGCATTCGCGACCACGGCAGCCCTTCTGGCCTGCTGGTACTTGTCAGCTGCTTCAGGAGACCCCTGGGCCAACCAGGCCTTGAAGGTCTCCTTCTTCAGCTTGACGGCTTCCCTCACCTCCGGTGTCCACCACCGGGTTCTCGGGTTGCCGCCACGACAGGCACCGATGACCTTCCGGCCATAGCTCCTAGTGGCCGCGTCCACAATAGAGGCTTTGAACATGGTCCATTCGGATTCCGTGTCCCCAACCTCCCTCGGGATGTGTGAGAAGTTCTTCCGGAGGTGGGAGTTAAAGACCTCCCGGACAGGGTCCTCCGCCAGACGTTCCCAGTTCACCCTCACTACACGTTTGGGCTTGCCGGGTCTTTCCAACCGGTTCCCCTGCCATCTGATCCAACTCACCACCAGGTGGTGATCAGTTGACAGCTCAGCTCCTCTCTTCACCCGAGTGTCCAAGACATGGAGGCGACCCTCTCGTTCTCCGGGGAGAAGTCCAACACAGCGGCGCTCAGCCGGGGGCTCGTGAGTCCTCTCCACTCGTGAGGCCTCTCACCCTGGGCAACTCCGGAAAAGGACAAAGTCCAACCCCTCTCCAGGAGCTTGGTTCCAGAGCCAACGCTGTGTGTGGAGGTGAGTCCAACTATATCTAGCTGGTATCACTCCACCTCCTGCACCAGCTCCGGCTCTTTCCCCGCTAGCGAGGTGACGTTCCACGTCCCTAGAGCTAGTCTATGCTGCCGGCGATCGGTATGCCCAGGCCTCCCGCCTGACCTGCCGCCCGGTCTGCATTGCACCCGACCCCGATGCTTGTCCCTGCGGGTGGTGAGTCCACAGGGTAGCTGCTCCATGGTGTTTCTTCGGGCTGAGCCCGACCGGGTCCCATGGGCGAAGGCCCGGCCACCAGACGCTCGCCTACGAGCTCCCCTCCTGGGTCTGGCTCCGGGAGGGTGCCCCGGTTTCCCTGGTCCGGGCGAGGTGGCTGTCATAAGGGTCGTTTTGAACCGCTCTTAGTCTGGGCTCTCCCCTGAAACCTGTTTGCCTTGGGAGACCCTACCAGGGGCTAATGCCCCGGACAACATAGCTCCCAGGATCACTGAGCCACTCAAACTCCTCCACCACGTTAAGGTGGAGATTTAATTCAGTAAACAAAATATCGAAACTTATCGGGAACGCACCTTCCCAGGTTCGTGGCATAGTAAACACAAAAAAGTCGAACGTAAAGGCCGATGCCACAAGTCAAGATGTAAGATAGCAGTGTTATTTTTGACCGGCTCTCAAATTTTTGCGCATTCTCGTCCCGCTGTTAGTTAGAAGTTGGCTTTTTTTTTAAACTGATGACTGCACCTTAAGATTGTATGGACCTAGAGGTGAAATGCTGCCTCCTATTTGGAGCAGGTGGCTAGGCATTACACATTGCACCTTTGTTGGCCAAATTAATAAAGAAAAATGAACACTCCGATTTCTTCAACTATGGTATTTGTCTTGGCATGCAGATTCAACATCTTTTTTAAAGAGGCTGTTTTCAGTATTTTCATCATAACTATGTCTCGAATGACAATCTGAAAACGTGTAAGGAGGGTCACCCGTACTGACCGACCTACAGAGGATCGCCTGCATCTGCAGATCCCCTCTGCTTTACGGAGCGAGTATCAATATACTCAGTATATAATATATTCAACTTTATTTCAGAGGCATGGGTCCATATGAAAAAAGAAAACACAACAAACAAATACAATATACGAGGACACTAAGACACAGGTAATCATTGCAGTTCAAAAGTCAACAGTGGTCAAAAGACATAGGGACATTTGTCATACCTTGTATCACTTGTGTCAGCTCAGTTGAGGCCACTATTCAATCAAACAACATATACATTTGTACATAAAATTCCTCAACACAGCATGAACGGTGGGAACCTTACTCGTCACAAACATGACTTGAGCAAGAATCTGAACGCATCATTAAAAGCCACCTGAATATTTTTAATTTTTGCGTTACTATAACTGTATAACGGCTGCACAGTGGAGCACAGTAGCTTCTACAGAGAGCTGTTTTAACTTCATCTGTACACATGAAATTGACGTGCCAGTATATTGGCTTGTGCATTCAGTTTGCAGCACTGATGCTGTACGTCATTAATACAAGCCCTAAAAGAAGCACATTTTAACATGGTCAAAGAGAGAACCTCTGCTTTTTCTTACAAACTGACTCAGAAGTCATGCTACTAACACCCAATGTAGTTACATCATTTCATGACATTGTGTTTCATGGTGAGGGGCTGGGTGAACCGATGAACACTGAGGTCACAGGCCAAGTTAAAAATCACCAGGGCAACACAACAGAAACACTGACTCTATGCTTGAACGGATTCAGTCAAACCACAGTTAAACCAACTCTACACAGAACATGAACACCAGAGATGTAACCCTCCTCCGTTTGCTGTGTTGCATCCCTGCTGGCGGGTGAATCTTATTGAACTATACTTTCCATTTCAATAAGCCAGATAGATTTGTCTTATAGGGAATCAATACCTCCTCGTTTAATAACAGTCCTTATAGGTCACTCAAAGGTCATGAGAGTGATACATTTAAAAAAAAAGAAAAAGTGATTCATCAGGGTCATAAGAACATTCCTATATGCACTGCACTCTTCTGGTAGCTAATTCTATTCGACATTTACCCTCTGCAGAATTTGTATTATGGTGGTCCACGGTGTGCGTGTGTGTGCGCGCGTGCGTTTTGCCATGTGACAGGTCCGTCCGGAGTTGTCCAGCCTCCTTTTTTTTTGGACTCCTTTGCAGTCTCACGGATCGTATTACTGGCTGCTCTGCCCGTGCCGCTGAGCCCACCACCTCTGCGCCAATCACATCCTTGCCTTTAACCAACGCGCACGTGTACGCACGACCGCAGGCACGGAACCCACAGACACAGATCCTGACATACACGGCGATCCATCGCTCCGGTTCTCCGCTGCCTTCACATGCGTCCCCCGCCGACACCGCGTAGCGCTGGCTGCGCCAAGATGAGCGGTCGTCCCAGTGCCATCTGAACCCCCGCTACGCCTGACTGACCCGGAACCGGGGAGAGAGAGACAGAGAGAGAGAGACAGAGAGAGAGAGAGAGAGAGAGAGAGAGAGAGAGAGAGAGAGAGAGAGAGAGAGAACCCATCTTCTATCATAACCCATCTTCCGTTTGGTAGAGACCGCAGCGCAAGCCGTTTCTTTCGGCATCTTTTTTTCCACCCTCCTCTTCCTCCCGTTCTTACTGCACCCCCGCCGTTATTATCGGTCTCCCGGTTGAAAGGAGAAGGTGAAGAGCCCGGTCGTGATTTTTGTGGAAATACATTTTGGCATTTATTTTTTCCTGCTGAGTGTTGGTAGCGCGCAGTTGGTGCGCGCCTTTGCAAATTCCGGTGAATGGTGGATTTGGCAAACATGGAGTCCGTGGAGAAGGAATGCGGGGCCCTCGGGGGTCTATTCCAGGCGATTGTCAACGACATGAAGGTAAATAAAAGCTTGAGTTTTTTTTAAACGTTTCACTGGATCCGTGCTCGTGGTTAAACACACGCGCTTCCTCCCTGAGAATAATCACGCAGCCTAATCAGAATGGAGCAGGGTGACTCGGTTTGAAATGTCTCCTCTTTTTAGCAGCAATGCACTGATGCTGATTGTGATGGTATTTTAACGTTAACATGGAGGGGTGGCACCGTTATACTGACAGTCGTGCAGCGGTTGTCGGTGCGAATCCCCCCCATCCCCCCCTTCTTAGAATATTGAATACATGTAAAAGCACATACATCCGTTATCGGACACATCATCGCTCAGCATAAGTGCGGATATTCTAATGAAAGTGTCCGGTGCCTAAATTAACCAGGAACTCTATTCAACTCGATGGGTTTATGGAACGAGCCGGTAATTGACGCACACGTCGGTTTGGACACATTCCGTTACATACGCATGTAGACCTGGTCTGGTAATGCTTCATCATCAGCAGCAGCAGCATCACCATCGCCTTGGTGTTTTTTTTCCTGTATGAGAAACAGACACAGACACGATGACCATCGCATGTCCAGGCTTCATTTCTTTCTTTTACTGTGCGTCTCCATGAGAGTGCAGCGTCATTGATTTTCTGTCAGGCCGATCCGGCAGGAAAACATGAAGGCGTGAGAAGCCTCGCAGCCGTCAGACACCTAGCCTCCCTACCTCCTCTGTCTGTCTGTCTGCCCGTCTGTCTGTCTGTCAGTGTAATCGGTCCGTCTGTCTGTGTCAGTCTGCGGCTTGACGGATCCGGCATGGTCACTGACAGCGGCTGGTGCCGTGGCTTTAGTGTTTCAGTACCCACCCATGCAGACGCTTTGGATAAAAGCGTCCCTCTAAACGGTTCACGGTACAGTCTCTGTCAATGTGTCTGCCTGTCAGACGCCCATGCAGCTCTGCATGCCTGTCTGTCTGTCTGCCTGTCTGTCTGTCTGTCAATTCAATTCAATTCAATTCAATTCAATTTGGCTTTATTGGCATGAACGTTTTAAAAAACAATATTGCCAAAGCATCAAAAAATAAACATACAATAACATAAACATACATAAACATACTGTCTGTCTCTCTCTTTGTCTCTCATTCCCCCTATCAAAGATGAATTCTCAATTCTCCTCCATACTCTGCCCATTGTTTGTCATCTGTATGACCCTGAATGGTAGAGGTCAAGGAGAGATAATTGGTTGTGCAGTGAGTACACGTGGGTGTATAAGTGATACACATACTGTAAGTATGATCCTGGATATCAAGTACATACTAATCCAACACATGATACATTGACCAAAGAATACTTCCAATAGTCAATACATCGCCTGGTGAAATGAGTAAATATAAAAATTAATAAATTTGATGTGGGTAAATTAAAGGTGTATTCCAGTGATTTACGTTTTCGCCTCCATAGAGTCGTGGAACTGACGAGAGCAAGATTTTCAAAAAAGAATGGTCCAAATTGAAGCGGTGGATGCTAAGATGACTGACTCTTAAGCTTAGCTTAAACTCGCCGCAGTGAAGCTGGCGCACGTACCAGAAAATGCTGTGATCACGTTAGGCGCATTGGTCATGCCCTTCTGAATTTTTGTAACTTGGCGTGCGATCACATGACCATCACAAATAGTTCACTGATAAAAGCACCATTTACATGTGTAGGGAGGCCAATTCACTTTTAAATGCTTTAGAAACAGGAGGTCTTAAAAATCTACATTGGAGTAAATATTTCACAGACAGATCAAATAATTTATGTTATATTCAACCTTTGTTTCTTTATAATACATGTAATACTTGGCTTGTTTCTCTACAGGGCTTGTATTAAGGTAATAAAGTAGTGAATATGAGGTATGAGTTTACAGATAATGACAATCCCTCGGCATTACAGAGGTTGGTTCATTACACCTGCAGTCTATGGGCCATATATGGGCATATCTCTGGGTTACACTCGTTGTCTTTTTGATTATACACAGTTCTTTTTGTTTGTACGTCCTCTGGTGTTTCGGAGAATAACGCAGCGCATGGACTATAAACGCCTCCGTTCATGCTCGGCGAATGCCGCGCAGTCTGCGGAGGCTCCCACTACGGTGCCAAGAGTTTAAACAAAGCTTTAGTTCCAAGTGTGGGTCACACTCCAAAAACACTGGGTCCTACGATTCCCATAATGCATCCCGATATCATCTTTTGTTCCCCTTCCATGTTTTTATGTTACCTCAAGGCCGCCGTAGGTTCTTCTATAGCTCGGAAATGGGAGGGATGAACGAAAGGGTGTTCAGTTTGTTCACAATCTGCAACCTCACCACCAGATGCCACTAAGTCCTACACACTGGTCCTATAAGCGTTAAAGCAATTATTCAAGGATATATCCCTAAACATCCCTTGTTCCAGATTCTGAATTGTTTTGGAGGATTTGCTGCTTTTATTTGTGTTTTATGATGGTCAACTAAAGATCTTTTCAGGTCTTGCCCGTTCGGAAAAAAAGAAGCAAATTCATGACATCTCAGTGATGGAAATATTTAGCATTTCTCGTCCTGTGATAGGACATTAGCAGTTCCAGAAGCACAGGCTGTTCACCTGTACTGTGGGTAGATATTCTTTTCAGAGCAGAATGAGACGCACTGACCATGCAGATCATAAATCAAGACAGTTTGGACGGTTCCTGCTAAAGGGAAATCATTATTCCGCCAAAACACAACCATTTTTAGACGATAAGAGACTTGTAATGATGCTCATCCCTCGGAAAAGCATTCGGGGTTGGTTGCATAGCAACATCAGCACCTATGACACAGCATCTGTGCTGTTCGTCGACACAGTACATGGATGAAGGTATAAAGTGAGACGTCAGAGACTTTTCAGAACGTTTCTATTGGGACAGTAAGTTACGTCTCAGATGCTTCTTGTCAAATGACAACACTGGTCCATCGTCAGCAGTGGTAGTTAGTCTTTTGAATAGGTTAGACATGGCTGACATGCCCTCTGAGCTACAGAGCAGCATGGTGTCACATTGTAGTTTAAAGAAAGCTGTGGTTTCAGCTGACACTTTGACTTTTCCCAGAATCATCACCAAACATAAATATTACTAAAGCTTCAAGACGTTATTATATCGTATTTATCTGTATATCATACTTCTCTTGTTCTCTCAGACACTGACGCTCAAGAAAGGCTAATTGATGTTCGAGGAATACCCCTTTAAAGGCATCTCGCTGCTCCTCCTTCTCCCTCTGTTTTCATCTATTATTCATTGGGTTCCTAATGCTCATCTTGTTTATGTTATCCAGCGCACTCTGATAAATGTGGGTCACTGCAACCTGTGCCAAAAAACACTGCTGCCCTGTCTCAATTCCCCGAATCCCCAAGGAGGCAGTGAGTGAACATCAGAGAGTGGATGCGAATCATTGAGTCATCGGCCCTCATACGCATTCAACAGGAAACAATGTGGCTTTGATCCATGTTTATAAAGAAGAAGCCATTTGTCAGAAGGAGCAAGTGGATTAATAGTTTTTTCTTCATTTGTTCTCGGAAACAGGCTGTTTTGTTTTTTTGACAGCTTCGGTTATTAAGCGGATGCAAAACTTGAGACAAGGGAATGAGACAGTAACAGATGAGACCACTTTATATATATATGCACACTTTCTTCCTCAGCTGTCCACATGCTCCATGTTAAAATGCACTACGTTCAGCTAAAGGCCACAGAAGGAATGCAGAACACGTGGAAGTTATTGGTTGCTGTACACCAAAAACTGATTTGTGATGCGACTGTTCAAATATCTGCCAAATATCCTTCAAAATGTTATTAAACTGAAGAAAATTTGTAGCGATATTGATATTTTCGTCAATCAGTGTGTAATTGACGTACTTTGGAAGCAAAATAAATAAAACGTGGAAACAGTTATTTGATTAACCGATCAGTTGATTGACGTAAAAATAATCTGCAACTATTTTATATAAAATGCTTCTTTGGTTCCAGCTGCTCCAATGGGATCATTTACTGCTGTTCTTTGTGGTACATGGTTAACTGAACATTTGGTTGGACAAAACAATCAATTTCAATAATTCATGTTTGTTTTAAACAATGAGTGTTTCCACTATTTTCTAACATAATTTCTAGAAAATAATCTGCAGAATAACTGACGATGAATTGATGTTATTGGCCTGGAAGTGAATCAAATCAAATTAATTAATGAATTGTATTATTTATTAACTGCATGTTTTCATCTCTACTAGTGGACCTGAATCTGTACGTGGTGGTTTTATGTGTCATGGCTCATGTTCAGTACGAGAGCCAAGCTAAATGCTGCTGTCTGCCAGTGTCAGCAGATGGAACCCATGCTGTTTAGAAAGCACTTTTTCTTCCTCTTTCTCCATCATCTTTCTCTTCCTCCCCGGGTCCTCCCTTCCTCTTTATGTCCTCAGCAGATCCTCCACCCAATCTCCAGCCTGTCCCTCAGTGTGTCTGCTTTATGTGTGTGTGTGTGTGTGTGTGTGCATGCTACATGCAAATTGGCCTTGGTCTCTCTGGTGTTGCATCGACCTGATAATTGTAAATATGTAATGGTGTACATTGGGAGCTGCAATGTAAGATCTTCCCATATGCTCTTAAATGTTGTGTGTGTGTGTGTGAGTGTGTGTGTGTAAGGACATTATGTTGTTGTCTGCTAATGTGTATCCCTGGAGGCTATGTCTTGCAACTCTCTAGTGAATTACACACACACACACACACACACACACACACACAGGTCACAGAGGGGTAATATGATGAGACGCAGAGGTCACGTTCACGGTCAGCTGGTTATATGGACCGGTGGCTGCTGGGTATATGTAATATTTTGTTGACAGTCGCAGTAGGATGCAATAAAGAAGAATATGATTTCCTGGTCCCTTAAAAGAGCGAGAGCATCTTTTTGAAGGCGTTTTAAGCTGTTTTGACCTTGTTAGTTCCGTTCCGTTATACCTGCATATTATTAGCTCAAGCATTTTGCGCGTAG